GAGGATTCTCTCTATATATTGGGGGCAGGGGAGTAGTCTGCCAGATGCTCCAGTTTGTGGATGCACTATACTGATGGCATCAAGTTGTGGAATACTGCAGTCTCTTTAATGGGATTAGCACTCATAGGGAAAGAATTTGGGCAGACATTCACACAGGAAAAACTAAGTTAAAAAAGGCAACATGGTATGGTGAGCTATTTCAGAACCAGGAAGACATGGTTCAAGTACTACCTCTGAAACAAACTCTCTGTGTTGTGGCCCTGGGAAAGTCACTGTAATCCTTCACTATCCCCAGGTAATTTTCTAACACCATTCAAGTTGAATAGTTATTGCAGATCTGTATTGGTAGAGAAAGTTTCTTTACAAAGAAGCTGCAAACATCAATAAAATCAAAAACCTGCACCCAAAAAAGAGAAGAAAGCAAAAAGTGGTGAAAGAACGCCTATTGTCCACACAATGATATGCAGTTGGAGGGACATACAGTTGGGGATTGAGTTAATCCATCAATATAAGCTTATATAAACACTACAGATGGACAATGAAACAGGTTCAGAATTCAGGGAAATTGCGTAGTACTTTTTAGGATCACAATATGTTTCCAGAAACAAAAGCCCACAAATTTCTGGTCATGTTATGTATATGTCTATAAATTATAAGATATCACAGTTTCCGGTGAATTAGAATTACATATAACCCAAAGCTAGGTGAATTGGAGTCAGGAAGACCTGAGTTCAAATCCAGCCTCAGATACTTACTGTGTGACCCTGGGCATGTCACTTGACCTCTGTTTGCCTTAATCTACTGGAGAAAGAAATGGCAAACTACTCCAGTATCTTTGCCAAGAAAAACCCATGGACAGTATTGGCATGCTATGGTCCACAGGGTCACCAAGAGTTGGACACCACTAAACAACAGAACAACAACCAAAGGGCAGTGGAGAGACATATGATACACTTAAGTAGGCTGAAACCAGTCATCTATAATATGTTGTGCACAAGAAATGGAATAAAATGTCATCTAGGATATGTATGATCAGGAAAGGTGATGGGCTTGGGGTGGAAGAAGTGTAGTCAAGTCAACAAATATTTATTAAGTGCTTAGCATGTGCCAGGCACTGGGCTAAGTGCTGGGAATACAAACAGAAAGAGACAGTTCCTGTCCTCAAGGAGCTTACATTCTAATGGAAGAAAACAACACATAAAAGGAAGCTGAAAAGGTGGAGTGGAGAAGCTGATGTGGAAGAGATAAAGGTCCTTGGTTAGTGGGCAATGCAGAGAAAGTCAGGGAGAGTCAATAGAGGAATAACGACATGGCAGGTCTGGGCCTCTGTTTATAATGGAGGTTCTAGGAGGGACCAGTTAATCAGAGGAAGTGGCTGTAGAATCAAAGTTAAGTACAGAGGTGAAGTGAGCATCCAAGGGTGAAAAGCTTTCTGGCTCATTGTAGAAAAAGATTGAGGAGAGTGAAGAGTTAAGTCTCGAGAACATGGAGGCTATAAAAAAAAATTATGAAGGTAATTTTCTATCCTTCGCCTTTTACTTTCCATCTGTTTTTACCCTTACATTGAGCAGAGACAGAATTGACATGGGGCAACCAGATGTGCTAATGTGTTGGGAGGGATGCTTCCTGCCCCTCCCCTCACTAGCCCCAGGCTGCCACCACCAAGTCCTTCATGTCAGTCTCCAGGATGCATTCCCACTGAGGTAGGCAGACTGTCTCTCTTCACACCACAGTGAGCTGCTTGAATGGGGGATCTGTGTCATACAGCTATGGCTGAACCCACCTTCTCCCTGCCCCCATAGTAAATTTATTTGTACCAATACTTCACTCGCTATCCTTCTCTGCTCTCCCCTTTTGAATCTTCTTTGGTTCATGAGGCAGGTAGAAGGAGCAGTGGATAGAGCTTGGGATCTGGAGTTAAAAAGTCCTAAGTTCAAATCCCACCTCACACACTAATTAGCTATGTGGTCCTAGATAAGACTCTTTCCTCGTCCATGTTATTGTGCAGTTATTTTAGTCGTGTCTGATTTTTTGTAATCCTACTTGAAGTTTTCTTGGTAAAGATACTGCAGTGGTTTGCCATTTCCTTGTCCAGTTCATTTGACAGATGAGGAACTGAGACAAACATGGTTAAGTGTCTTGCTAGTAAGTGTCTGAGGCTGGATTTGAACTCAGGTCTTCCTGACTCCATGTCTGGCACTCTATGCACTGTACCAAGCTATGTCTTTCCTCATCCACAAAGTAGGGATAATAATAGCACCTATCTCCTGGGGTTGTTGTGAGGATTAAATGAGATATCACAAGTTCTCTTTGCTGTTTTGCTTAAAAAAAAAAAAGGATTTTCTGACTTCGTAATGGTCTTTTATGTAAGCAGATTTGGTGGAATAGGGCTAAGCTGGCATTTGTAAGCTAAGGGCCATTCTCCCCCTTGAGAGATATTTTGTAAGGTGCCTGGTACATATAAGTACCATATAAATGTTAGCTATTATATATTGAAGATTGTAGAAAGGTCAACGAGGCTCAAGATTGAGAAAAGGCAATTAGATTCCGCAAGTAAGAGAATATTGGTAACTTTTGAGAGGACAGTTTCAGTTGAAAGATCAAGACATATAGGGCCAATAGGAGGAGATGGAATACTCCTTACTTCTCACTGCCCTGTTGAGACCTCTTATCACTCATCCACAACCTCTCATGCTTTAACTCTCATGTTAACCTGTCCAGATGGTGTCATCTTTCAACCTCCAGGCTGGGTCATAGTGTTCTCCTCTCCCTTTCCCTAACCCCTTCAAACACTTAGCCCTGATAAGTCAGGAGCACTATAACAAAAATGTTGTTTAGCAGGGCAACTTTCTGGCCATGACATAGGGGAAGAACTCCAATTTGCCACGGTGGGGTAGACTGAGGACTTAGGATAGGTGGACACTATGATATGTACAAGGAGCCCCATTGGGCAGAAATAGGTATTTTGTCCTTAGATAGGAACATCATATGGACAAAATTCTTCTGCTGGTCCTGACCCCAAAGAGGAGAGCCTTTGATTGTCTAGTCCTGTTTTTTTCAGGACACAGATCATTTAAAGATTTCATCTATCCCTTTTCATAAGTCTCTCACAAATCAGCCATATTTGGTACAGCTCAGGACTGTCAGGACCACCCCCCTCCAAAATCCCATCATAGGATTGATGTCTTTAAAAGTTTAGTTGTCTTTTAGGGAAGAAAACAAAACCTAACACAACCCACAATGCAGGAAATTTAGTCTGTTATTCCTATCACAAGATGCTAAACGAATGCTTGTTGACTTGGACTGATCATTACCACAGAACCTAAAGCTCAGGGGCTAGAGGAGGCAGTGCCATACTCATCCTGGCTTCTTCAAGGAAGATTAAGGTAAGGAATAGGAACAGCTTTGGGGTACTCCATGAACTGTACCAGCAAAACTTTGTACCAGCTGAGATTGAAGCTGTGCAAGATAAGACATATGTGTTCATTCACTTGCTTATTTCTAGTCTTTTAGAGTTGTCAGTGTTGTTGGTTTTCTCTTAAGTTACACATTAAAATTCTTTGGGGGAAAAAATCTCAAATCTGTGTTGGCAAAACAAAAAAGAAAAGGAATCTGTTGGTGTTAAGCTCCAAAGAGTTAGCGATCAGAGCTCCCCTAGTGGACAGGTGTTGTAATTGCGATGGTAATGTAATGGCTGGCTCAGTTCCTATAACAACCTTCCAGCTGGGTCTTTGAGACTTGAAAACTCAGGTGAGGGGGTGGTGATGGCAGAGCTAACTGTTATCCTTAGGGCTTTCCCTATCCACTTTCAAAAAACATTTAAAGGGAAAGTCCAGGGACCTAAATTTCAGGTAGCTGGGAAGGATCATTTTGGGAATGGTTGGGGGGGGGGGAAGGGGAGGAACAAACATTGGACGGCTTTGTTACAAGGAAGGGTTCTATTGGTGAGGAAGGTGTATTTTGGGGGGGGAGAGTGAGATCGATTTTTTAAAAAAGTATTTATAAAGCACGCACATTAGGAAATCGAGAGATTTGAGTTCTGTCCCCAGCTTTGTTACTTAATCACCCTATGATATCAGGCAAATTACAAACTCTCTGGGCTTCTTTATGTAGAACAGAAAGGTTGTACCAGGGGCCTTCCAGGTTTTAAAACGCTCTCTTAACCTACTTCCCTATACACTCCAGACAAAAGTTTACTCTGTGCAACTGGCTATGAAGAATTGGACTTCATCTGAATTGAAAAGGTAAGTGAAGACCCTGCTGCTTCAGCCTAGCTTTGATTGGTGCTCCTATTTCTTATATGGTGCCTATCCCAGCTTTATCCGTCAACTGCAATGCTAATTAATTCATTAACATAAAGCCTCTTTCCTTCAAAGACCACCGACACTGAAAGATTACCTTCCCCTTACAGAACTAGGGGGCTTATATACTCGCAAAGATAACATGAAAAGGCATCCTGTCTGTAATTTACAGAACTACAACCCGCCAACGTCCGGGTTTTAATCCGCTCCCAACAAAGTGTCTTTCCATGTCCAGCCCCCGGGTGCAAGATGCTGGAGTCTGGAGACTTAGTAACTGCTGGCGTAGGCGGGTGATGGGCGAGCTGCCCTCCGAGCCGGCTCGGCCTCAGCGATTTGCGGGTTACGAGTCTGGAGAGTTCATTACTGCAACAGGGCCTTGAAATTAGCAGCAACGTTTGCTTTCAGTTCTTACTGTTGTTGCTGTTGATATTGGGACTTCACGTTTCCAGGTAATTCTCGTTCGTCTCCGTGCCCCAGCAGGTCCGAGAGTGCAAGAAGCTTGCACGAATTTTGCGTGTGAGAGTGCATACGCCAGACATAGGGAGCGAGAGCTAGAATGTGTCAGGTAGGCGGAGCGACTCGGACGGCTTTTGTGTCGGTGTCCGGTCCCGCAACCGTGCGTCGGGTGGTCAGGGATTGAGTGAGGTGGCACTGGAATGGGGTGGGGGCGTGGCCTTTCGGGAGGGGCGTGGCCTAGGGCTAGGCTGAGGAGGGCTTGCGGCCAACCTCCCCGCCCGTGGAGGCGGGGCTCGGCGGGGAGGCGGGCTCTGGCTGCGGTAGTGTCACACACGCGGCGGTTCCGGAGGCGGCAGGAGGCGCCGCCGGGACGGGCACAGTGTGTTGCTTATTCCCTTTCTCTCGCTCTTTCTCCAGGCTCCAGGAGGGGCAGGGAAGGGGGGAGTGAGGTGGGGAGGCGGAGAGAGGATCGCACAGCCCTCCTCGCTGTCAGTGGAGCTGATAGGGGGAGCCGAGAAGGATTCCTCCCGGACCCCTCACCGGGAGCAGGAAAAGAGGGACGGGGGAGAAGTTCAAGCCGAAGCTGCAGGAGCCAGGCAGGGGCGGCGGCGGCGGCGGCGGTGACCTCGGTGAAGCCGCCGGGAGGAGGAGGAGAAGGAGGAGCGGGCCCTGCCGCAGGACGGATACCCGAACGAGCGAAGGCGAAGGCGGTGGAGGAGCGAGCGCCCGTCCAGGTGCCGGTGCCCCGGCTGCCCCGGCTGTCCGCATCTCTCCCTCCCTCTGCTGTAGTACCGACGCCGCGGGAGGCAGCGGCCGCCTGGCCCCCTCTCCTGGGGCTGCAACCGGACCCGCGGAGCCCGAGCCGAGGGGGGAGGCGGCGTCGCTGCCGAGCGCCCCGCGAGCGGCTGCGGCCAGAACTTGAACTTGACTCTGAGCCTTTTTTAGGGGTCTGGCCGGGGCTCGGGGACCCTCGGCGAGTTAGCCGGGAGCGGGTTCGGCGGCAGCTGCTCGCCTTTCTCTCCGCTGACGCCGCCTTTCCGAGGAGCGGAGTCCGGGGCCGAGCTGCCTGCCTGTCTCGCGGGGAAGAGGGGTTCGTGGTGGCCGCCTACGTCCCCTGCAGCCTCCGGATGGCAGCGGCCGGTCCGGCCGGGGCGCCCCTGTTGCTGCTCCTCGGGCCGTAGGGGGGTCGGCTCCGGGGCAGTCCAGGCGGCGGCACCATGGCTAAGTGGCTGAACAAGTACTTCAGTTTAGGCAATAACAAAACTAAGAGCCCCCCGCAGCCTCCCCGGCCGGACTACCGCGAGCGCGGGCGCGGGGGCAGCAGCAGCGGGGGCAACGGCCGGGGGGCGGCGGCGGCGGGGGCAGGTGGGGGCAGCGAGCGGCGGCAGCAGCAGCAGCTCCCGGCGGCCTCCTGCGCGTCCTCGTCGTCCTCCTGCTTTTCATCCTCGTTCCGGGAGGACAGCGGCAGCACCAGCGACCTGATCCGCGCCTACCGAGCCCAGAAGGAACGCGACTTCGAGGACCCCTACAACGGCCCCGGTTCGTCGCTGCGCAAGCTGCGGGCCATGTGCCGCCTGGACTACTGCGGGGGCCAGGACAGCGGCGGGGACAGGACTTTCTCGTCCGCCTCCTCGTCCGCCGGCTGCTGCTGCACCTCGGGCGGCGGAGGGGGAGCCGCCGCGTCCTCCTCCTCTTCCTCCTCCCCGCACCTCTTCCGCAGCAACAGCGAGCGGCGGCCGGCCACGCCGCCCGAGGTCAAATACATCTCCCCCAAGCACCGGCTCATCAAGATCGACAGCGGCTGCGGCAGCGGCGGCGGGGACCCGGGAGGAGGCGGCAGCAAGAGCAGCGGCAGCGGCGGCAGCGGCGGCAGCGGCGGCAGCAGCAGCAGCAGCGTCCGCACCTGGAGTCCGTCCGCCTGCGGCGGCAGCAGCAAGAAGCTGCTCAACAGGTGCCCGGAGGAGAGCGGCGCCGCCGGAGGCAAGAAGGAGAAGGTGAGAGACCCTATCCCCGCTCCCGACCGTCCCCCAGCGTCCGCGTCCTCCTCTTGGAGGACCTGCCCTGCCCGCGGCCCTTCCCTCTCTTGCACCCTTAGCATGGCTCCCTCCTCACCTGCAGGAGCTGCTCCTGCCTTCGTGAGTCCCTCCTGTTGCTTAAGAATTTGGGGAGGGGGCGGGGGAAGCGTGCACGAAGCTTCAGAAGCTGTCTGGGATAGGTGCGTCAGTGGGCAAATATGTAGAGTGGGAAGGAGATCTTGGTAAAACACTGGCCTTCCAGGAAGCGTTCTTGACTTCTAGAATCTTGAAAATCCAGACCAGGGTTTCTTAACGTGTATGTGATGGATTCTTTTAGCAGTCTAGTGAAGCCTATGGACCCCCTTCTCAGAATGTTTTAAAATGCATCAAATAAAATACATAGGATTACAGAAGAAACCAGTTATGTTGAAATAAAGTTAATATACATATACATCTATAATGTTATGTATATATAAATGTTATTTATAAAATAATAACTTTCCATATATGCATTTGTATATGTATTTAAAAACTTTCAATGTTACTGGTTTCATATATATGTGATACATATATGTAACCAGTTATATTGAAATTAAGTTATATATATACAGAGTGGGAAGAAGGGGTTGCAGCCCTTACTAGTGGTATGATCTTGTACAAATCATTTTACTTCAGAGCCTTGGCTACTCCATAAAAAGTGAGGTTTGGTCGGTCTAGTAACAGGATTCTCAACTGAGAGAATCTCCTCAAGTGTGTGTGTGTGTGTGTGTGTGTGTGTGTGTGTGTGTGTGTAATGTATATTATATATGTTATACATATACTTATGTGAAGCCAGTTATTGAAATAGTTATCCATATATACATATAGTTATTTCTATATAAAGCTATGTATCAATAACTTTATTTCAATATAATTGGCTCCATTTATATCTCTATATATGATAATATATATTAGAAATCTCCTAAAGTGTGTATGTTTAAATAAAATTCACAAAATTCTCTCAGTTGAGAACCCCTGATCTAGACCAAACCTCCCATTTTATAAATTATGCCAATGCTCAGAAAGTGAAATAATTTGTACAAGGTCATACCACTAGTGGGTGGCTGTAACTCCTCCTCCCTACCCTGTTTAATTCTGTTTTTACTACCCTCCTCCTTTTGGGGGCTCACAGACCAAGGCAGTCAACCTGTTCTGTCTTTACATAGATTATGTACATCCCTCTTGTGTTTTATGGAAGGTATATAACTGGCAAGTTGAAACAGTGCTGCTTACCTACTTAATACAGAGATTCCTGGGTTTGCTAACTTCAGTTTTACACAGGGATGAAGAGGAGAATGGAGTCTTGCTCAGATTCATTGGGACAAAGGTTATAGAGAGAAATAGCTGCATTACCTTTTGCTTTTTCTCCCTAAGCCCATTAAGGTGGGAGAAATGGAGCATTATTAGTGTTTGGGATGAATTTTTTTCTCTTGGTGATGATTATTTTAGCTGTATAGAGAAGAAAGCCCATTCTGAGAAATCTTTTTGCCCATTTTAGTTTAAGATTTGTTATTCTTTTGGTATCTCTTGGGAAGGAGTGATGGGTAGACAACGATGGAACTGACCTAATCCGTCTGAGGGGTATGGGAGGAGCCTTACTCCTTCCCCACCACTCCGTACCCCCCAAAAAGAAAGAAACAAACAAAAAGCTTGAATCATCTTCAGCAAGAATGCAGTGTGTATCAGATGTATCAGTCAATGTGGAGCTGTCAGAGAAAGAACCAGCAGTTCTGTTGTCTGTCTTCATATGTCTGCTACTACTGGCCTCTTGTCACCTGTCACCCAAAGGCTGACTTCCCTAATGGGGCTTCCAAAAGTGGTCTTCAGCATACTAGGATTTATCTTCAGGGAGTGCATCTTACTAGATTGGAGTAGATGAATTCAGTGTGCTAATTGGATCATCTTCATTATAGTATACCTTCAAAAGGAGAAAGAATGGAAGGAGGCAGGGGAATGATACATGTTATGAAAGATGAATGGAATTAACCCACCCCATCCCCTACAAAACCCTAGTCTGTCTTATTCTTTAAACAGATATGCTTCTGCCCTGAGGTCAGTCAGTACCTCACTTACCTTCCACGTCACTGAAATCACCACTTTGGCTCTTTTACTGCTTTAAGAGATTGACTGAATTGTTAGAGAAGCTGTAGTGAGAGGATTACTGATTATAGCTCCTACCAACTGCCTCACTGGTATGAGTTGATGCTAGGTAGTACCAGTTTAGGGGAGAAGGAAGCCCCTATCACTATGTTTTTCTCCTCATGTTCTCAAGGTACTCCATTCTAACTTATAAGCAGGGAACTTCTATTGCTAGGGTATCGAAGCAGCGCATCCACAAGAAGATTTGAAGATTTTGGGGGAGTTAACTTGGCTAGCAAAGGTGCAGGAGGCAGAGAGATGTTGCTGTTACTTGACAGAGACATGCCATAGAATTTCACTTACCATTTGGGAGTCTTGGCCAGTCAGCCAGGCCAACACCTGTAGGGGCAAATAAAGAAGAAGAGTAGCCAAAGGAAGAGCTTAATTTTTGTTGTTAACTTATCTTACATCATTTCCCACAAAAATGAAAACTAGCTCCCTCTTTTCCCATATGGAGCTTTTTCAGAAAAGGGATAGGAAACTTTTTTTCCTTTGTTAAATGCCAAGCATCCACAAGGGGGGAAAAGATGAGATATGAAAAAGGATATGAACTAAGAGTTTACAAAAGAAACACTGAAAACTACTAACATCTATATGAAAGATTGCTCCAGATCACTAGAAATAAAAGAAATGCAAAACATAAATAACTTTGAGGGTTAGCCTCACAACCAGAAAATTAGGAAAGATAGCATTAGATGGACTTGGAGGGACCATGGAAACACTAATACATGGGTTGAGCTGTGAATTGGTCTGACCATCCAGGAAAGCAATTTGGAATTTTGCTTGAGAAAGTAATTAAAATATCCACACCTTTAACCCAGAGATCTCACTGCCAGACATTTGTACCCTCAAAGGTCTCAAAGAGAGAGAAAGGTCTTAGATTTGTCAAAATATTAATAGTGTTTTGTTGTCATTATTTTTGTGGTATCAAAGAACTGGAAACCAAGGATGATCATTGATTGGGGAATGGTACATAGATATCATATAATACTACCTTGCCAGGAGAAAAGACCATTATGAAGAATTCAGAAAGACATGAAGACACATGAACTGATGAAGAGTGAAGTAAGCCAGGAAAACAATCTATACAAAGACCACAACAGTGTAATTGGAAAGGACAATAAAATGAAAGAGAGGCAGTGAGAGTGTAGCAGAAAGAATCCTGGCCCTGGAGTCAGGGGGCCTGGGTTTAAATCCCAGCAGTATCTGCTGCTTACTACCTGCACAACCTTGAGCAAGCTGCTGAACTTCATTCAAAGAAGAAGGAGGTTGGACTCGATGACCTACCTCCAAGGTCCCTCCCAGCTCTAACTCTGTTACCTCATGAACCAGAATGCTATATAATTATAATGACTGAGCTTGGACGTGGAAAAAGATTGAAAAATTACACCTCCTTCACTTTGTTTGCAGAGGTGGGGGACTAAGGATATAGCATATATCTATATCTAAATCTATATATCTATCTATATCTATCTATATAACATATATATATATATAAATATGTATGATTTGGCTGAACTGCCCTTTTTATCTTTATTACAAGTTTGTTTGTAGAAGAGAGGGAAGGATGTGTTTGAAAATGAAAAAAGGAATCCATTACAAAACTTGAAACACCTTTGAAGACCACATGAAGAAAATAATTTTTTATTTTTAGTGAGAGAAGTAAAGTTTTGATTGACTTTTAAAGGTGAGAACAGGGAATATGAAACTTTATTCGATAACTATGTTTAATAAATTATATTTATTTTTAACCATTTAAGTAGAAAAGATAAGAGACAGGGAGCAAATACATCTGAGAAAAGGAGCGAGATCTCAGTGGAAGAAAGGAAGAGAGAAATAGGTTAACATCATTTGATTCACCCTTGGATTCCTACCTGAAGGCTGGTAGCTTGATGACTTTCCCCCACTACTTCCCTACATCTAGTCAATCTTCTCTCTGCTAGGCATTTTTGTCTGGGTCTCTGTGTCTGTCCATCTCACTCTCTCTCTAGTCTCTGTCTCTCTGTCACTTTATCCTTACAATAACCCTGTACAATAAGTACTCAGATACTATTATCCCCATTTTACAGTTGAGAAGTAGAGCTTGAATCTCATTTATAAAATCGTCCTTGGGTTGACAATCTGGTGCCTTGAATTTTAGAGCAGGAAGGGGATGTGAAGATCTAGTGAGGAAAGTGAGGCAGAGAGATTAAATGACTTTGCTCAGAATTGTGCAGTTAGTTGAGTTATGATTCCTAGTTTCTTTCCCAGCACACCATACTGCTTTTTTGTTTTATTGCATACAGTTAAAATTTGTGTTAGTCACTAAAGTTTGATGTTGGCCTCCTTCATTTAACCTCTTCTCCTTTTATAAGGTCTTGTTTTAAATGTTCACCCTCTTTGTCTCATGTAGTCTCTCTTTCTTGCATACCTTGTACATTGAATCTCTTGCATCTACATAATATGGCACATAATATGCAGCCTTTTTTTTCTCCCATCACCTCTCCCTTCTGCTCTCTCTGGGGTAGGACAGGCTGTTCACTGTACCTGTCTCCATCCAGGTCCTATGAAGAAGCTGAAGCACTGGGGAATAGCTACAGGGTTATGACCAGGGCTGCAAAGAAGAGGGTTGACTAGTGCTTGGTTGGTGTGGAGGATGAAGGAAAGATTCACCCTAGAAGCAGAAAAAGGGCGTTCACCCATGCCCCGAGGCAGCTACAGATGGAGGAGGGAGGAGAGCCATGGGATCATTAGCTGCAGAATGATTGATTAAAAAAAAAAAGGCTCAATTTAGCCATGCCATTTTGAAATCTTGACAAATA